CACCGGCGCCCGGCTCAGGACCCCATTCTTGCCAAGCTAGTGATCTACAACTTGAATCAGACCTCTAGACCTTTGTGTTTTAGATTATTTTTCAGATAGGTGCTCCCATTTTCCCCTTGTCCCACCTTGGACCATGATCCTCCTACCTACGCCTCCACTACAGCTAGAGTTATAAGAGTAAAACACTAAGCCTAGTTTATTAGTGGAAATGGGGTTTTGCTTTTTACCTGGGCTAACCTTGAACTTCAGTTCTCCCTATTTTTACCTCCTGAATAGCTGGGATTACAGGCATGAGTCACAGTGACTAGCACATCTTAAGTATTGGGAAGGATGTCAGTCTCTCTACTTTGGTTTTTGAAAACTTATAAATTTGTCTTTTCCTTTTCCTTCCCCTGTCTCTTTCTGTTTACTTTTGGGTAGAGCCTGCTATATTGCACAGACTGATTCTCCCAATCAACTATCTTCCCTTCTTACCTTCTGAGTAGCTAGAACTGTGCGTGTATGCCACTATACCCAGCTGTCCTTGGAATGTCCCAAGAAATTGCCTTTGTAAGGTTTAAAACAATCTACACAGGATTCAGCCTACATAGACTTCTGTTACCATAACTTGTTCACAAGGCTGTATTGGTAGGATACTTGTCTAGCCTGCACAAGGCCATGGGTTTCATCCTAAGTACCATACACACAAAACACCTGCTTCCAGGGGCTAGGAAGGTGGCTCAGTGGTAGAGCGCTTGCCTTGCATGCCTGAGGCCCTGGGTTCAATTCCTCAGCACCACATAAACAAAAAGCCAGAAGTGTTGTTGTGGCTCAAGTGGTAGAGCGCTAGCCTTGAGCTGAAGAGCTGAGGGACAGCGCCCAGGCCCAAGTTCAGGCCCCACGACTGGACCCCCCCCCCAAAAAAAAAAACCTGCTTCCAAAGCCCTGTGACATTATTTCTGATAACAAATGTGTCATTTTGAATGTGTCTAGCATAGTCCCTTTACACACTAAATTAAATACATGTATGTGTCAAGGCTATGGAGATGAATGAGAAAGTTTCTACTAGTTGCTCCTGGTTCAGGAGAGAAAGAGTTCAAAGATAGGGAATGAATTTGGTGTAAACTCTAAGGACCCTGGAGCTTGCACTCTGAATATGTGAGGCTCAGAGGGGTTAGGATGGTGGCAGAGATATGGGACAGTACATGACACATTAGAGTCATGTGAATAGTGGACTTGAGACTGGTGTGCAGGAAGTACAAAGGAAAATAGGAGATGAGGCCAGAAAAGGAACATAAGTACTAGACCAGAGTGTATAGATACTGATGCACCTGTCCAAGGAGTTTGAATTTTATTCTGGACACAGTGAGGAGCTATTTAATTCCCCTGAGGAGGGGAGTCATAATACTAAATAAAAGAATGACTTAAGCCTGGTGCAGGTGGCTCAGGACTATAATCCTAGCTACTCAGGAGGCTAATATCTGAGGATCATAGTTCTACGTCAGCCACAGCAGAAAAGCCCATGAGACTCCTACTTCCAGTTAACTAGCAAAAAGCCAGAAGGTATTCAGTGCTAGTCTTGAGCGATAGCACCCAGTTCAAGCCCCAGGACTAGAACACACACACAAGAAGTATGACATGGAACTGTGTTCTGGCTTTCCTTCTGGCCAGACCCATCTAACCCAGCTAAAATAAATCTTAGAGTAGACGCTGAGTACCAACCATTCTTTAAGGCAGTCTGTCTCCTGGGTCAAATAATTTCTTTGTAAGATTTTCCCCTTTCAACAAGGGAAACAATCAAAGAATATTTGATCAGGTTGAAAAGTCAGTTTTGCCCCTCAAAGAGTACTTCTTGCCTCATTCCATGGGTTCCAAACTCTGCTTTGCTTTTAGTACAGAATTGCTGCGATGTGAACGGTGCTAGTCAGGGTTCTCCAGAGAAACAGAACTAGTAGAATAACAGGGTACATGGAAAGATGTGTATTATGAGAAATTGGCCCACATAATTACTGAGGCTGAGAAGTCCCATGATCTCCTATCTGGAAACTCAGGAAAGCCAGTGGAACAAGTTTTCATCTGAATCTGCAAGCCCAAGAGCCAGGAGCACCAACAATGTAAGTCTCTGTTTAGGGACAGAAGACAAACAATGCTGCAGCTGAAGCGGCCAGGACACCCACAGACACTCACTGCCCACTTGTGTGACGGAGTCTGGATTGAGCCCCATGGGTAATATCTGGCCCAATGCAGGAGTTGGGGATCTGATAGATAACATCAAAGAAAAGCATAGGCTCTGGCATCAGTCAGCTATGGGTTAGAAAAATCTCAGCTGAAATCACATAGCAGCCTTAGCAAAGCCAAGGCTCTCTGGACTTTAGTTTCCTAATCTGGAAAGTAGACATAAATATACCTACCCCCAAAGAGTTCAAGTGAAGAGTATGAGGATGCCTAGCTTGCAGCCTGACATAGTAAGTAGCTGATCCTCATCAGAGGGGGTTTGGTTTATCTTTGTGAAGACAAATAGTGGCTGCTGTGCATCAGAAGAGGGAAGCTGTGCTTAGAGTGAGCTGCTGTTAAGTGTCTTGATTTAGGAGAATGAAGATGCAGCCTAGGCACCTTACGTCATTGCAAAGCTGCCGAGTCTCCGGTGAAAATTCTTACCTGTCTCCCAGCCTGATTTCACTCCAGCAGCTGTGGGGCATGTTTGATAGGCAAGCAGGGCTTCCATGCTCTTTCTGGGCCCTGCTGTTTCTGGAGTTGCGGATCTTTTTTCCCTTTGAGATGAAGATAGCCACTACAATGGATCTTTCTCAGGGCTCACTCTGAGCTGGTGCTGAAAGCACAGGGAAGAAATAAGCTATCCCTGAGCTGGAGATGCCTAGTAAGGGAACAGAGCCCTATAATCCAAGTCTATTTGAAGGATGTACCGACCAGTGGGAGGGACTGCAGAGAGGAAGGAGGTACCAGTCCAGTAGGTTTATGGATGTGTGGATGGAATGGAAAAAAATAAACTTTACTGCTCTGATCTCATTATCAGAACTTGTCGGTGGCCAGATATGTGTGTTTTCCCTCCATATCAAGCAATTCTGCAGTGAATACTGGTTGAATGTCCTATGATTCAATTCCAGCACTTTCTACCATCTGATCCATGGGTTAATGGCACAGTACTACGAGACTGTGTTTGGAACCAGTCACCATAAAGTGTCATCAAACCTCCTACTTGTGGTTTGATCATTTGCTTGGGTCATTCATGAAACCAAGAAAAAAAATTACCTTTTTTTTTTTTTTTCCTATTCTTGGGCTTGAACTCAGAGCCTGGGTGCTGTTGCTGAGCTTCTTCTAGCGCTCGACCATTTGAGCCACAGCTCTACTTCTAGCTTTTTCTATATTTTATTGGAGATGAGAGTCTCACAGACTTTCCTTCTCTGGCTGGCTTCCAAACTGTGATCCTCAGATCTCTTTTAAAATTTATTATTATTATTACTGCTAGTCCTGGGGCTTTAACTCAGGGTCTGGGCACGGTCCCTGAGCTTCTTTTGCTGAAGGCTAGCACTCTACCACTTGAACCACAGTGCTACTTCCAGCTTTTTCTGTGTATGTGGTACTGAGGAATAGAACCCAGGACTTCATGCATGCAGGGCAAGCACTCTACCACTGAGCCAGATTCCCAGCCCGTCAAATTTCATCCTCCAGAGTAAGTGGGATTACAGGTGTGAGCCACTGCCACCTGGCCTTTACTATTTTGTAAAATCTTAAAATTTGTATGTATTTATTATACGGTACAGGGGATGGCATCCAGGGCCTTGTGCATGCTTTGCAAGCTTCGGTAGCACTGACCACACCCCCAGCCTTGTGGTTCTTTATGGAAGATACTATAAATGGGAGGCCACTTGGGAGAGATAAGCAGGAATGGGGAAGTGACAGCATTGCTTCCAGAGCCCTCAGAGTGCTTCTCCCTCCCAGCACTTCCAGTGATCTGCAGCTGGAAGCATTATCAGATCTTGTTTAAGACTTTTTAATGGAACTTGGCGGTGATGGTGCAGGCTGGGGGTTGATTGGAACACACTATATGCACCTGTGAACTTGTCTCTATAAACGTTCCCCTTGTATAGCTAGTATGTGCTAATGAAAAAAGGAAGAAAATAATTTTTTTAGAAAGGTTATAGTCTCCAGCGACCACCTTTTTTCCTGGAGGTTGGTGAGTGGGGCTGAAAGTTACAATCCTCCCTTCACTTGGTCTTTTTTTTTTTTTTATCACTAAGGAAAATCACCAAACATATTGCATATGACACCACAGTGGGGGAATGCTGAAAGGCACATAGTTTAAAGAGAGATAAGCCAGATCAGCTAAAGGAACTAACAATGAGTAAAGGTGCATAGATAAAATTTGGTTTAAAAACAAAAAGAAACTGGTATAAGTAGAGAAGGAATGGTGGTTAAGGGGCTAACAAGGACACAAATTTGGAAACGCTAGAACAAAACAGATAGTGTGGGGTATGGCTGCCTCTGGGAGAAACAAGCATGTAAATCTGCAAGGTCTGGAAGGACAAAGCTTCGCCCTGAGTTTGGGACAAAGTTTTGCTGCAGGGGAACAAGGAGCGTCAGACTGACAGCCGAGTGAGGTGCTAGACATTTCCTTTCTCTTCTCCAACCAAATACTGTTGGATTGCATGCCCCAGCTGTGTCAGGCCCTGGGAAGCCTTGTGGCAGAACAGATCAGGGCTTCCCTCCACAGTTTTCGGAATATCCATCTGAGAGTCTTTCTGTTTTCACGCTGGCTCGGGGGACTGGCCTAGGACTCTGAGGCCAGAGAGCAGCATGGCGCTGGGCATTCCCTAAGATGTCCCCGCGCACGTGGGCCGGCCTGCAGGTCTGTCCATCAGCTGCGTGCGCCGCCAGGGCCTCTCCGGTGCCCCGCCCGGCTGGGCGCCCGCCCCTCGACCCGACCCACACGTGGGTTCCCGCACGTCCGCCCGGCTTCCACCCTGACGTCAGCCTCGGGGTTGGATTTAAGGCCCCTCCCTCGCCGGGGCCCGACTGCTGGAGCCGCTGTTGCTGAGTCCGGATCTGCTCGCTGCGCGCTCCGACTCCCGCCCGCCGTGCACCCCGGGTATGCTCAGACTCCGCGCGCCCCTCCGCGCCCAAGGGCGCGGGAGAGCCCGATGCCTGAGGCTCCTCTGGCTAGGCGCACGGGCGAGGGGGCCAGTGTGTGTGTGTGGGGGGGGGGTTGGGCGCCGTTTTCTAGAAGCAGCTCGAGAGACGCGGCCACGCATGGGTTTGGAGCCTTCTTGCGCTAAGCTGGCCTCGGGCTGCGCTGGGGAACCGAGCAGGTGAAAGCCTTAGGTGAAAAGCCCGGGGCAGGGAGGGGGTACTAGGAGATGAGATTAGGGTGTTACGGGCTTAAAGCGGGGGAGGGGGGGAAAGCAGGGAAACCCTCTAGATTCAGCATCAACCGTGTGCGCAAAACTTGAGGCCGCGTTACTCCAGCCGATGGAATTGGAAAGCCTCAGAAGCCGAAAGCCGCGTAGGGCCCCGCTTCGCTTTTCTTTTTCTCCCTTCCCCCCCCTCCCCGAGACTTTCGGGTGGGCCCTGAAAACGACAGGGCGCACGAAGCTGCCGGTGTCTGTCCCAGATTGTACCGAGCGCGCGGTATAACGTGTAAAGGTGGGGCGAGCAATGGGGGCCCTCTGTGAACCCCAGGAGGAGCGCCCGCCACCAGGCCCTCCCTTTGAATCGCCAGCTGAAAGACGATTAGGGGCATCTCTGCACGGTGGAGGGCGGCTGAGCTGGGGAGGGGGGTCTGCCCCGCGTTGGGTGCAGGCCTCGCCCCCCTAGACGGACCCTCACTAATGCATTGCGCCCTGGGGCCGAGGTTTGTGGTGCAGCGGGTTTTCTCTGCAGGGACGAACCCCCTTCCTCCCTCTCCCCAGCCCCCTACCTTCCCCCACCGCCGGCAGCAACCTTACAGGGCTGGCCAGAAATAGCAATGATTTGTAGGGAGACCCACTTCCAGCTTGGCGACTCTGGGCTGCTGGCCTGGAGGTCCGACCTAGGATATTTTTGCCCTTTGGAACAATGTCAAGACTTGGATCTTTGGGCATGCAACCTGTGGCATCCTCTCCAGAGAGGGCAGTGCCGGGTTGGAGGAGCACCAGGCGGCCTCCTCCCCGCCCTGGAACCCGAAGGGTTCAACCAGTTCCATTAAACTTTTGGGCTCCTGGCTTTAGATCCCCGGCCGCGGCTTTTTCTGCACTTCCTGTTCGGGCAAGACCTCTTGGGTGGCTAAACGCCTGGCAACGGGGCTGTAGCGCAGCCCTGCGAGGCCCCTCCCTCGGCTTAGTTAACATCCGGTGGTTCCTGGTATTGCGACTTGAAGTCTGACTCTGGCCACCGGCCCGGATCAGGCAGGCTGCCCGGGCCAGCTTCACGTGGCTCTCATCTGCTGTAGTCAAGTCTAAAGTCTGACTCGGAGCTCCTTCAGAGACACGAATAGTCCTCTATCAGGAACCCAAACGCTCCTGATTGTCTGGGTTAAAGCGCGCAGCTGTGCGGCTGGGGCTTCCCCGAGTCCTGCTAGGCACGCTGCCTCCACTTGCTTTGGAATGCGTGTGCGCATGCTCACTAGCTCCCCCCTCCCGCCCATCTTCCGGAAATAAGTGGGTTATAAAACTTGTGGTTTACTGGGGCGGGAAGGGAGGGGGATGGGTAGCCAGTATACGCGCATGCGCAGACCTCCCAGCACGTGGCTTGGCTTGAGGTCGTACCTCGTGGCCGTTAGTGGCGCCTTGTGCACTTAGTTTGGCCCCTTATCTTGGCACTGGTCGTATTGAAGGGTCCCAGGTGGCCAGGGGGGGTGTTTGGGTGGCTCACAGTGGTCTTGTCTAAGAGGAGGCCAGCCCCTCCAGAAACTAGAGAGCCAAGATGAGTGACTCGGAAGACTATTCTTACACCGAAACATCAATATTTATTTTCCATAGTAAGGTGAGGCCTGCCAGTCAGACCAGACCCCCTAGCATGAGTTCTTTCAACCCTTTGGATCATCTTTTCTTTTTTAACCCCCCTTCTATCCTTGTAGTCATTTACTATTTTTAGTGGCAAGTACCCAAAAGAAAGTAAATGGAGACTTCTTGAACAGAAAATATTGTGGAGGATGCAATAACAATGATTGTTCCCTCCCTTGTAGGGTCTTAGCAGTCATTCCCAGGCCAAAATGTCAGGTCTCAAGGATCAGCTGATTGTGAATCTTCTTAAAGAAGAATATGTCCCCCAGAACAAGATTACAGTTGTTGGTGTTGGTGCTGTTGGCATGGCCTGTGCCATCAGTATCTTAATGAAGGTAAGAAAGTAAAGCCCATAAATTGACTTTACCCTTTCCCTCCATCTCCAAAAACTGCTTCTTACATTGTAAATAAAAATATTTAGGTCATGCACTCATTCAAAGGATTTTCTCTGAAACATTTTTGCAACAGGGTGATAAACTACAAAAGTTAGCCGGAAGGGGTAACAATGACAAGTAATATACTCATGACCTTACTCATGTAACTGTAACCGCTCTGTACAGCATCTTAACAATAGAATTAAGAAATATAAAAATAGGGTCTATTAAAAAAAAAGTTAACCAGGCTGGAAACCCAGTGCCAATAACAAAAGAGTATATGTACCTTTAAATGAATCTAAACTCTTAAACTTGCAAATAATAATGTACATATGGTAAAATCCTACTGACTGAGGAACCTTAAAAATCTTCCTCCCTTGTCAGTAATCTATCAATTATGGTGATAAAGTTTAAGTAGAAAACAGAATTTGTGAATATGCACATTTTATAGTATTCAATCAAACCTGATTCATAAAAAAAGGAGGTATCCTTCATTCCTTTTTTTTTTTGAGATAAAGTCTCAGAATATACCCTAACATGGCCTCAAACTGTGAATTCTCCTTCCTAGCCTCAATATAGTTTTTGTATACCTATGGCATCCTGATGACAGTGAATGTGTTTAGAACAGAAGTGGCTTGAAGTGAGAAGGCAGCAAAAGTAAGCAATGAGAGGTCTTATAACAATAGAACTTACTCTGCATGTATTCCATCAACTCATCCTTTCTTACCAGCTGGGTCAGAAATTGTTTTCCTACACATATGAACTATCAATGATCTTTTTCATTGGCCCCTGACTCAGTGTGAGTAAGAATACTTACCAGATCATAATTTTATTATAGTTGGTTTGTGGTAGATCTGCAGGCAGGTTAACTATTGTAGTAATGGAAGACCATAGTCAATTTGTATTATGACCATGGTCGATGTTTCTAGGCTGAAGTCACCAGATAGAACTATTAGTATTTTTTTTTTTTTGTCAGTCGTGGGGCTTGAACTCTGGGCCTGGGCGCTGTCTCTCAGCTCTTCAGCTGAAGGCGAGCACTCTACCACTTGAGCTACAGTGCCACTTCCGGTTTTCTGGTGGTTTATTGGAGATAGGAGTCTCACGGTCTCTCCTACCCGGGCTGGCTTTGAACCTCGATCCTCAGATCTCAGCCTCCTGAGTAGCTAGGATTACAGGTGTGAGCCACCAGCACCCGGTAGTATTTTTTTTGGGGGGGGGAGGGGGTCTGGTCGCGGGGCCTGAACTCTGGGCCTGGGCCACAGCGCCATTTCCGGCTTTTTTCTTTTTGCTTATGTGGTGCTGAGGAATCGAACCCAGGGCCTTAGGCATGCAAGGCAAGCGCTCTACCACTGAGCCACCTTCCCAGCCCCGAACTATTAGTATTGATGGAAAGCAACCAGAAAATAAATCAGACAATTGCCTTTTAATTCCATGTTTTGACACTGTTTGGTATTATCTTTTAATGAATAACAACCTACAATTGGTATATATATAACTTAATGAATATAAGGCAGTTTACATACTTAGAAGTTATTCTGTAGTATTAGCTAATCAGTGTTCTGTCTTCCCACCAGCTGTGGTAGATTTTTTTTTTGGCCAGTCCTGGGGCTTGAACTCAGGTCCTGGGTACTTAACCTGCTTCTTTTCTTTTTTTGCTCAAGGCTAGCACTTGAGAGCCACAGCACCACTTCCCAGCTATTACTGTTTATGTGGTACTGAGGAATTAAACCCAGGGCTTTATGCATGCTAGGCAAGCACTTGACTAAGCCACATTTCCAGCCTGAATTTTTGTTTTTGTGATGGTTAGTTGGAGTTTAAGAGTCTCATGGATGGGGCTGGGAAGGTAGCTCACCGGTAGAGTGCATGCCTTCCAAGCATGAGGCCCTGGGTTCGATTCCTCAGCACCACATAAACAGAAAAAGCCGGAAGTGGTGCTGTGGCTCCAGTGGTAGAGTGCTAGCCTTGAGCTTAAGAGCTGAGGGACAGCGCCCAGGCCCAGAGTTCAGGCCCCATGACCGGCAAAAAAAACAAAAACAAAGAGTCTCATGAACTTTCTTGCCTAGGCTGGCTTCAAACAATACTCCTTAGAATTAGCTTCTCAAGTAACTAGGATTACATATATGAGTCACCAGTGCCTGGGTTTAATCAGCTTTTTTTTCCAATTTTTAATTTTTTTACTGTTAGTATAAAGGTGATGTACAGAGGTATTATAGCTACATAAGTCAGGTAATGAGTACATTTCTTTTTGAACAATGTCATTTCTTCCCTCACCTACTTTTTCCCTCTCATCCCCACCTACAAGTTACATAGTTCAATGTAGTGTCTAGTGTGTACCACTGCTGCATTTGTTCACCCTTGGTCCCTCCATTGCTGTGCTTTCCCTTGCCTCCCAGAGACAAAAGAACAAGACAAAAAAAAATCCCACAAAGAAAATCTTGTTTCCATTTCTTGGAGCTTATTTCAATAAAAAGGATTTTATATAATCAGAGGCACATAGACTGTAAATGCCTAGTCTTGTTTAGTTTATCATGTCTCTGTATATTTCTGAATAAGAGAAAACCTGCACCATTTGTCTCTGAGTTTGGCTTGCCTCATTTAACAAGATTTGTTCTAGGTCCATTCATTTCCCTGCAGAGCCATATTATTCCTTTGGCTGTGTAAAATTCCATTGTGGGTAGGTACCACAATTTTCAGATCCACTTTTACAAGGCTGTTTTCATAACTTGGCTGTTGAGAACAGTGCATCAGTGAACATGGATGTGCAAGTGTCTTTATGGTATCCTGGCTTGTGATGTTCTGGTACATGCTGACGAGTGGTATGGTTGGGTCATAGGGAAAATCTACGTTTAATATTTTGAGAAACCTCCAGACTGCTGTCCTGAGCAGTTGTACTTGTTTCTTTTTCAGCTTAAGTTTTTAATCAGCTTAAGTCTAAAGAATATACTACCTCAGGGCTGGGATGTAGCTCAGTGGCAAAGCGCTTGCCTAGCAAGCGCAACGTCCTGGGTTCGATCCCCAGTACCAAAAAAGAAAAGACAAAAAAAAAAAAAAAGAATATACTACCTCTACTTTGAAGCATATCCTAAACTCAGCTGGCAGAATTCCTATGCCAGGAATACAGAAATTTTTTATGCTTTTCTAAACATCTGCAAACAGCAGTTTACCATTTAACTAAAACTTTCTTTTTTTCAGGACTTGGCAGATGAACTTGCTCTTGTTGATGTTATGGAAGACAAACTGAAAGGAGAGATGATGGATCTCCAGCATGGCAGCCTTTTCCTCAAAACGCCAAAAATTGTCTCTGGCAAAGGTTAATTTTTTCTATTATACTCTGTTCATTTCTTGATTAGGCTAAAATTCTTCAGAGACTTTTTTTTTTTAATGCAGTATAGGAGAGCCTGGGAATAATTTTTCACTGGTTCCACCAAAGTTTCCATCTCTAATAAATGATTTTAACTGGTAATCCAGTTTATTGCTGATATGGCAACTATCTGAAATAGAATGGAATGTGTAAAGCTCCAAACTCTAGGCTATTTAACCATATTGTTTCCAGTTTTTGTGTCTTAATTTCATGCTGAGATTCCACTCAGGGTCTTGCATGGTTACTAAGCAAGAACTCAACTTCTGAGCTCTACCCCTAGCTCAAATATTTCAATGTTACTCTACCATTTCCTTTCACACACAAACACAAATTTGGGAATAGGGTAAATGAGTTATTCCACAGGTATTCTTGGTTCCCCCTCTTCACCTTACCCTAGCACCAACCAGGAAACTGGGATTGAAATTCTTTGGCCCTTTTTATTTTGGGGTCCGGTCGTGAGGCCTGAATTCTGGGCCTGGGCCCTGTCCCTCAGCTCTTCAGCTCAAGGCTAGCGCTCTACCACTTGAGCCACAGCACCACTTATGTCTTTTTTTTTTTTGCTTATGTGGTGCTGAGGAATCAAACCCAGGGCCTCATGCATGCAAGTCAAGCGCTCTACCAGCCCCTCTTTGGCTTTTTATGTGATGGGCAGCCATAGGGTATCTAGAAGAAGAATAAGAGAGAATTCATTTGTCTTTTGATGATTAAGGAGCTAAGTGAAAATAGGAGCAGGAAGAATGAGTTGGTATATAAGGGATTAATATGAAAATTAAACTTGATTCCTTCAAATTGTAGTTAAAAGTTGCAATGGCATTGACTTTCTCTTCCCCTGTTTAAGGGATCACAATTATAAAACTCTTAAGACAAAAGGAAAGAGCTAGGAGGTGGTAAGAGTGTTTATCTGGGGCTGGGATGTAGCTCAGTGGCAAAGCGCTTGCCTAGCAAGCGCAGCGTCCTGGGTTCGATCCCCAGTACCAAAAAAAAGAAAAGACAAAAAAAAAAGTGTTTATCTGTCCCATCTATAAGAGTCCTTTCCTCTTTTCTTTAGACTATGGTGTGACTGCAAACTCCAAGCTGGTTATTATCACAGCTGGGGCCCGTCAGCAAGAGGGAGAAAGCCGTCTTAATTTGGTCCAGCGAAATGTGAACATCTTTAAGTTCATCATTCCTAATGTTGTGAAATACAGCCCCAACTGCAAGTTGCTTGTTGTTTCCAATCCAGGTGAGGCTTGTCTCTGCAAAGGAGGGAGAAAGGGTGAACAAATGCAGCAGTGGTACTCATGCACACTACGTTGAAAATGACCTGTACAGCTAGTGGGTGGGATAGGAGGGGAAAGAAAAGACAAACCACAGCAAAACTGATGACATGTTACATGTTGTAGATTGATTTATTTCTCATGCTTCATTTTCCTGAGAGATTTGTGGTTTATAAAATACTTAATTTAAAAGCATTACAGGGATGTCCCTGTATTATGTATACCTCTGAACATAGTTGGAACTTAAAACTAGTTAATTGCTTAAGGGATACATTTTAATAGTTGTGTTTTCCTACTTGGTGTGCAATTGATTTTCATAAAATATTTCCTGAATAATAATAATTCCTTGGGTGTGTCATAAACAGATCTAAAAATACTAACGTAAGTCCTGGTTATTCATGAGTCACTTAATGTCATTGTTCAAATGCTTTCTTCATAGTGGATATCCTGACCTATGTGGCTTGGAAGATAAGCGGCTTCCCCAAAAATCGCGTTATTGGAAGTGGGTGTAATCTGGATTCAGCCCGGTTCCGTTACCTGATGGGAGAACGGCTGGGAGTTCACC